TCTATTTACCATGGGTGTTAAGAATAACTTTTTTTTTTTTAAAGAGAGAGAGAGAAAGAATTTTAATATTTATTTTTTAGTTTTCGGCGGACACAACATCTTGTTTGTATGTGGTGCTGAGAATCGAACCCGGGCCACACGCATGCCAGGTGACACACTACAGCTTGAGCCACATCCCCAGCCCAAGAATAACTTTTGATTAAAAAAAACCAGCAAAAGTTTTGATTTAAAAAAAAAAAAAGTAAAAAAGGTTTGACCACTATTCTAGAAGTGTGTGATACTGAATTATTTTAAGTAAGAAGTAGATAAATAGCCATGTGGTTTACAAATTGAAAGCCAGTGAAAGTTTAGAATGAAAGACAAAGTATAATAAGAATTTTCAATTATTTAAATCAGAGTGTTCAACTTGCTCATTAGCAAGAGATTACATTCTTTCTGTCATAAAAATTTACTGAATACCTAGAAGCCCATGTACTTTATAGTTCTATTAGAAAACCTTAAATCCCTGCTTTTTTAAGCCATAGTCAATTTGGATAAATTTTTGTAGCACACTTTGTGTTCAAATTGGTTAAACCTACTTTTTGACTTGAAATTCAGAGAACATATGGCTCTGTCAACTCCAGTAGAAACTGAAAAGTATTTTTCCATAAAGCTCTAATAAGAACAAGGAAAAAAGATAAAAATGAATGTTCCCAAACCTGTTTATGTAGTTAGCTATGTTTTTGCTATGCTTGATAATTTCTTTATCAAGATAATTCAGTGTTTCAACATGAGTTGTCCTATTAAAACTGATATTGGCCAATGTAAAAATATGGATACTCTGAATCAACTTTGTTCTAAATTATTTATATAATAGGTTTAACCAATTTGAACACAAAGTATGCTACAAAAATTTATCCAAATTGACTGTGACTTAAATGTTTCTAATATGCTGTCAAAGAGGGGTTATGCTGTTTGTGAACAAATATATTTTATTTAAAACTATATGATTGTTGCCCAGTCTCCATTTGCAAAAAATGTAGCTTCATTAAATCTCTGGATGAGGTTTTCAGTTACAAAACAGTAAAGGTAAAATATTCTCTCAGAATTCAAATTGGAAGCTAAGTTTTCTTAGCATCATATATAAACTACCTGATACATATGGTATATTATATGCGTGTGTATACATGTGCTTATATACATAATACAAACACACACACACACACATATATGGGATCAACAAAATCATAAGGCTCTATGATTTTGATCATATGATCAACAAAATCATAAGGTTCATGTTTTTTAAACAGTTTGAAGCAAAAAAGTAAATAAATAATAAAATTAATAATAATAGAAAGAAGAATCTACATTCTTTTTTTTTTTTCCTGGTTGTATACAAAGTATATTCACACCAATTCGTGTCTTCATACACGTACTTTGGGTAATAATGATCATCACATTCTACCACCATATATAACCCCATGCCCCCTCTCTTCCCCTCTAACCCCTCTGCCGTATCTAGAGTTCATCTATTCCTCCCAAGCTCCCTCTCCCTATCCTACTATGAATCAGCCTCCTTATATCAAAGAAAACATTCRGCATTTGATTTTTTGGGATTGGCTAATTTCACTTAGCATTATCTTCTCTAACTCCATCCATTTACCTGCAAATGTCATGATTTTATTCTCTTTTACTGCTGAGTAATATGGCTCAGCGGTAGAGCACTTGCCTCGCATGTGCAAGGCCCTGGGTTCAATCCTCAGCACCACATAAAAATAAATAAATTTGGGCTGGGGATGTGGCTCAAGCAGTGGCGCGCTCGCCTGGCGTACGTGCGGCCCGGGTTCGATCCTCAGCACCACATACAAACAAAGATGTTGTGTCCACCGAAAACTAAAAAAAATAAATAAATATTTTAAAAAATAATAATAATTAATTAATTAAATAAATTGGAGACTGGGGATATAGCTCAGTTGGTAGCAGGCTTGCCTCCCATGCACAAGGTCCTGGGTTCAATCCCCAGCACCACCAAAAAAAAAAAAAAGAATCTACATTCTATGACTACAATTTTTTTTGTTTATTTTGTCCACTATAACCCTAGTGCCTAGAACAGTGCATAGGACATAGTAGGCATGCAATAAATATTTGCTGAGTGACTCAATGAAAATCATTCTTGAATGCTACTGTGGGTTCAGTACTATTTCCATTGCTTGATATTTATTTCACTTAATCATTATAATTCTATACAAMAGATATTATCGTAATGCCAATTTGCAAAAATGGACATTAAGGCAATCAATGGTTAAATTACTTGCCCATAATCAGATTATTGAACATGAATATTCAGTAGTAATATTGAATATTACATTAATAATGAGTAGTGGAATAAGAATAATAAGTATAAATCTGAATATTAAAAATCAAAGCCTTAAAACATCACTATTATACAAAAAAAATCTAAAATTTGTCTGACTTTACAGTATATTTTCAGAGAGACATAAAGACCCCTAGATAAATGTAAACAATGTGTGCTAACTAGTGGTTATTAAATTCAAATCAATGTATTTGTTGAGAATATACTATATGCTTAAAGCCAGTTTAAATACTTCATCATATAAAAATAAATAGATTTCATAGTCCCTTGCTCAAGAAGTTTTACACATTGTTCTGGTGAATAAACATTTTGGATTTTAAAATTAAATGAATTTTTTAAAAAATAATTATACTTTCCAGAAAGTAGTTTCTGTATGTTACATATGTGTTTCTATTCTAGGACACAAATCTAAGGAAAATAAAAATAATTTACCTGGTTCAGTAAATAAAGAATCTTTGTAAGAATATGCAAACATCTTCTTGGATTGATGGGGGTTTCATTGAATATACGAGCCTACAGAAACATGCAAAATATTACTGTTACATATAGTGTATTTTCTACCTTTTTCTAAATCAGAATACAACAAATCAACTTTAATAATGAAGACTTTTAAAATACAATATCCAAAGAATATAGTTGTCTCTAGTCCTCAGTTTACTATGGTAGCTGATTAATTATTAGATAYGGCCTTGATTTTCCAGTCTGTATTTTCTAATTCATTCCCTAAGGTCTATTACAACTTTATGGGCTTTATCTGTTAAGAAAGAGAATTTTTACCTACCTCATATGAATGCAAAATGCTCAATATCTAACTTCTTCTAACAACCTTGCACTAAACACCTCTTTTCACATTTTATTTAATATTACCAACACATGGCAGAGCCTGCATGTCTTTGCACTTCTCTCAGCTCTAGATTCTCCTGTGACAAGTTAAGTCCTCTTCCTTCTCCCTCCAGTTTATATGCTCTGCAATCAGTTACATTCCTTAATATTTATTTCGGAGGTCCTGACTCTAGTATCCCAGAGGTTCTCTGCCCGCCATTCTAAAACAGAAAAGAGGCAGCACAATGTAATTCCAAGTCATACCTCCTGTAAGACAGCACTCTTCTCCAGATGCTGGAAAGGATTGGAACCACTACCTAAAGCATAAAACAAAAGAATGTCTTCAGTAGCTATCCTACATACTTATTTTCTAGAGAAGGGTACTGAATGCTTTAGAAATCTCACCTAAGTGAGACCTCACTTGGCTACTACAGTGATAGTCATTACTAATATGTATATAACTTGAATAAAATCATTTTGATTTTGATACGAGTTCTGTCATTTGACACAGTGTAAGAGGTTGGACTTCTCTTTTGCAGGAGTGTCTTCATTCTCTACCCTCTTTTTTATTCCCATGAATGTTTATAAATATGTGTCATTTCCACAACAACCAAGATTAATGAGATTATGGTAGGGAACTTTTGATTTTCCTAAAAGAAAGCCTTATTTTATGTGTTTTTAACATTTACTGAGAGGCAGAATTGGAAGAATTTTGCAAAGAATTACATAAACAAAAAGTTGGATGGGGCTGTGGAGGTTAACTACCCCAACCTCTTAACGCACTACGTGAGAGTAGCCATCAACACTGACAATATTTTTCTTTTTTCAGGTGACTTGGCATATTCCCGGTTTGCCTTGGACCACAGGCGGGTATAAAGACGCAAGTCACTTTTGGATGCCTGAGCATTAGTCCATCAGTGTCCCACAGGGCAGGTTGGGCCCCCCGCCCCAGGAAGATTAGAAGGTACAGACACCTCAAAGTCCATATACACGCATACGCTGCATCGTCGACCCCAGCCCCGAGAACAGGGCGCTCCCATTCCGAGCCTAACCCCACCAGCAACCCCCACGCTGCCGCAGAGAGCAGCGTACGCACTCCTTAGCCCCCGCCAGGGACCCTCCGGGAATCAGCGCGGAGGGGCTCCGTCGGGGGCGGGAACGGGGGTGGGGACAGGGGCCGGGGCGGAGCCGCCCTTCAGGCCCAGGCAGCGCCGCGCGCCGAAGCGGGAGCGCGCGGCCCAAGGGGAGGCCCCGGCACCCGGGGGAGGGGCTACGGGCAGGCCCCCGGCAGGAGCGGACGGCCCCTCGCACGGCGGCGCCCACGCCCCCAGCCCCGCCGTTCCGGAAAGCAGGTGGCGGCGAGCGAGGGAAGGGGACCCCCGAGGCTGAGATTGAGAGTCAGAAGCCCCGCGCGTACCAGACTCTTCGTCCTTCTTGTCGAATTTTTTAATCATCTTGGACGACTTCCCAGCGCCCAGACCCACAGCAACCGTCCCAGGCGCCGCTGCCGGCAAGCGGAAGAGGCTGCAGGAAGGCCGGCCCCGTGTTCTCTCGCCGGTTGGGCCTCCAGGCCGTCACTCGGGGCCAAGGCCCGCCCTCCCGGGCCGTCGTGGCCGCCTTCGCCCCCTGGGGACGTAGCCACGCCCTCCCTGGCCGCGCGGGGGCGGGGCCAGGCGCTGCCCCAGGGGCTTGTCCCGCCCACCCAGCTCGCGCCTCCGCAGCCCACGCCTGCGGCAGCTGCAATGTAATTTTATTTGGTCAGCGATTTCTGCAGACTCCTCCTATCCCTGGAGAACTAGGCGGGAGGCCTTAAGAGGTTTTTTTTTCACTTAATGACAGTGGCATTTTTGATAATCCACTGTTGAGCCTTTCCGTTGCGGAAGGAGCTTTCCCCTGGCACAATTCTGGTGGGCTTCTCTTCTAGCAGCGATGAAAGTGTGAGTGGTTCCCAAAGCATCTGGGGAGTCAGCATTTCATTCACAGACTTCTTGGAAACTACGACAAAGCACAGGACACCTTGATGAATGTGCATTTCCAAAAGTAGTAGAGGAATACTTACTGAGTGGCACGGAAGGTCCAGAAACCTGGTCTTTACTCTTTATCAAGAGTAACTATCATTTCCAACCTTCTTTATAATTCCGGATCCTTACTCTTCATCAAAACCCATATTGTCAGTTTAGGATCTTCTTTGCCTGGTCCCACCCCTTTTAAGTGATTTCCTCTGCAATTATATTGACACTTCAGTCACAATTATTATCATGCACTCATTCATGTGCATAAAAGGCCTTTACTCAAAATGTATGTTGGCTTTCTATTGTCTGAGACTGTGACAAACTTTTGCTTCATTTGACTTCAGTGATACCACTTTAGTCAGGCTCTTTTTCAATCTCCACCTGTTCTTTGCAAGTTTCTATCGTTGGATCTTCTTGCTTCTGCCCTTCCCCACTTTTGGACACTTTTTGCCTTGTAAATATCCCTTGAATCTGTACACTTATTCCAAGCTGCTCTCACCTTGGTTCAGGTCCTATGGTTGACCTCTTACCCTCCTTAACTAGATTTCACAGCTTCCACCCAAACTGTTCTAAGTGTACTCTTTCCTGATTTGGATGCCTGATAAACAAGGGGCATTATAGGGGGGTGGGGGTGGGGGTTGAGGAGATATTAGCTGTTCCTTTGCTTTAAGTGGGAATATTGGTTCAACTCTCCAGCAGATTCATTTTTGTATAGGAAATGCATCATGACAGACTTTATGTACAAAAGCAGACTAAGTATCCTTTGATTTTATTTATGTGTTTTTATTAGGAAAACTGAAAAGTCACCCTAAATCTAAAGAAAAGCTACATACTGAGATATTAAAGAGTTCTCTTTATAATGTAAATGCATCCTGTGCTCTTGCAAAATTAGAGGAATTCTAATCTAGGTTAGATTCTAGAGAAATTCCCCCACATATGGATTTAAGCTGAACTGCCTCTATCCTACATCTGGTATCATTTAAGATTTAACTTCGACTTGACTAAATGTACTATATTAACTATTATATTTGTTTTATCTGACTTATAAAGCTCAAACCATACTTTCCAGGTGAAGTTTCTCTCTTGAAAAAAAAAGATACTTGTACATCTGAAATATTCTGGGACTGAAAACAGACATAGTATTTAGGACTTTTTTTTTTTTTTTTTTTTTTTGGTAGTACTAGGGATGGAACTCAGGGGCTTAGGGGTGCTCTACTACTGAGCTATATTCCCCAGCCATTTTTACTTTTTAATTTTGAGACAGGTTCTTACTAAATTGCCCAGGCTGACCTTCCTGTGTCAGCCAGTGGAGTGACTAGGATTACAGGCACGTACCACCATGCTCACAGGACAAAAAATTTTAAATCTTTAGGCTGGGGGTATAGCTCAGAAGTAGAGTGCTTGCCTAGCATGCACCAGTAGTCCCTGGGTTCAATCCCCATCAGCCAAAGGGTGGGGGAAGGATTTTGCTAAGTAAATAATGGGACAAATAATACATAAATATGTGAAAAACTATGAAAGTGGTAGATGATAGAGTTTGGAAAAAACTGCTAGTGCTTTCTTGAAATTTGAGGATTTAAACTTCTTTTAGTTCTCAGCTTCCTTGCTACAAGGGAAAACAATGTCTAGAACCACCATGACAGGTGCCAATCTGCCCATATCTCTTAATCCCTGTAGGTTCTACCTCCAGCCCACATCTCAGTCCAGTACACCACTGCATTGAGAGAAAAGAGCTTACCATTTTTCCTCATATCCCTTTCACAGACTGGAGCAAAACTGAGCTGAGGGTACATTTTTTTCTGTTTCTTCAAAGCAAACACTTTTGAATACTTTCCTTCACTTTTGAAGTCATTGTCAGTGGAAAACCTTAACAAAGACAACAACAGAAATTCATTTAGTAGACCCTAGGGCAAGAGGTTAATGGTACCAGTCACTTTAAAGTTGGCTACATCCTCAGAGATTCTGTGGGAGAAGAAGGGACAATGCCAAGAGACTGCCCATAGGGACAGAGAGGCAGTATTAGTCAGCTGCAAGGGACATTTATATTACTTAGCACCATAACCATTGGTGCCAAGTTAACTTGGAAGTAACTTCAAAATCTCTTTCTTCTCTGCAAACTAGATAAAGGTTGCTCCAGTAACTAATTTCAAAGAGAACTTCTTTTGTCTTTTTGCTCTTATTCTATAGTTCTTAACTTGTGCTACGGGTCTATGTCTTGGGTTTCCTTAAAACACAGATTAGAATACAGCACTTTCCTTCACTCTTGAAGTCTTTGTCAGTGGAAAGCTTTAGTTATGCATTACTGTTTCTCTTCCATTAGCATGGAAATGAAGTTGAAGGTCATGTCAAGAAGCTATTAGACATGTTTCCCACAATCAAAATTTTGTGACAAGCATTCTTTTTTTTTTTAAAGAGAGAGTGAGAGAGGAGAGAGAGAGAGAGAATTTTTAATATTTATTTTTTAGTTCTCGGCGRACACAACATCTTTGTTGGTATGTGGTGCTGAGGATCGAACCTGGGTCGCACGCATGCCAGGCGAGCGCGCTACCGCTGTGACAAGCATTCTTATTGCCCCCTTTTTCATACAACCTTATCCCAAGCCCCTTGGAGCCCCCTTTCAAGTTTGTTAAATTGTATACAGAAGAGACAGTAACACAAATAAGGAAAAGATAGGAAAGAAATTAAGTTAAAAAAAAAGAGCCAGAATTTCACCTAAACCATTGTTCTCGCTTGGATGTAGGATCATCTGGCCGTTTCATAGGGAAGATTGGTTTTAGTCTGGATCTTAACTTTTTTTTCTGAGACATCAGGGGCAGGAAGAAGTTCTCACTGGGTTTTTGATTATGATGAATTTCCTGTGGCAGAGGGAAGAAGAGAAAGTGAGGAAGTCAGCCCAGTCTCTTGGAACTTCAAGGTTGAACCAAGTTCCTGGACTAAGTTATGATTCCCCTAAAACTATGCAACCAAATATATCAAAGTGGGAAGTGGAAACTCAGAAGCCAGAACCATAGGAAGCAGTGCCCTGAGCTGGATAATATGTATTCTTTCATTGCCAAATGATTTGTCCAAAGCTTGGTCAGTTTCCTAAGCAATTGATCAAACTTGCCTACTGGCCCTTGGAAGTGAATGGCAGGGGAAGTTGCCCAGTTTAGAGAAGGATTCTGTTAGTGAATTTGTTAACAAGTTGAGAAATAGATCCCATATGGAACTCTACCTTCCTTTTTTGGAGATGGCTATGTTATCCACATTACTTTCTCCATCTACAGGGATAGGGCCATGGAATGGGATGTTTTGTGAGGTAATAATTTCATCATTCTTAAAGGTCATAGAATTGAAGATTTTCAGTCTTAAAAGTTATCCAGTATAACTGTTCATCTGATACTTTTATCCCCTCAATTTCATTATCAAGTGATCAGTCTTCCTATGCTTCAAAACAAAACAAAACAAAACAATTTCATCTTTGATCAGCTATCTCCCTATAACTTTTACCCAGTAATCCAAACAGAGCAAATCCAATGCCTCTTTCACAGACAAATTTTTGAAGAAATCTGTCATGTTCCTCCTAAGCTCTATTTCTTCCGGGCTGAACATTGCCAATATCTTGAAGTTTTCCTCATATGACATGGTTTTGTTTCCCTTATTCTCCTGATTTATCTCATTTGAGAAAGTTACAATTTATATTTTTCCCCAACATGTGGCAATCTAAAATAAAAACTATACTCTCGCCTTAGGGATTGCATCACCAACCCCATTTAAAGTGTCTACTAAAAAATCATTATCACTTCTGATAACCTTCCCTAACTACACTATCTAAAGTTGTCTTTCACAGTCCATCCATTTATCTTGCTTTGGCATGGTATCTATCATGTTATGCATTTTCTGTATGATTTTTACTTCCTTATGGTCTGTCTACCTCGCTAGAATTAAACTTCATTGAAACAAAGACTGGTTAGTCATATATATATATATRTATATATATATATATATATATATATATATATATATACACACACACACACACATATATATATATATGTATATAATATATTATTATATATTATAATATATATTTGGGGGGACCAGATATTGAATTTAGGGGCACTCAACCCCTGAGCCACAACCCCAAACCTATTTTGTATTTTATTTAGAGACAGGGTCTCACTGAGTTGCTTAGTGCATCGCCATTGCTGAGGCTGGCTTTGAACTTGTGATCTTCCTGCCTCAGCCTCCTGAGCCACTGGGATTGCAGGCATGTGCCACCATGTCCATCTAGTCACTAATATATTGCTAGTACCTCAAATGGTGCTTGGCACATAATAGGTTCTTGCTAAGAGCCATAGCCAAGTAGTATTTTTGGTTGAAAGGTGACGCCAGCAAGCCATTGAGATGATATGATTATGTTAAGATCTGCATTCTTATGGATATTAGACCCCTGCTGTCCACCTTGGCCTGCTAAGGGACTCCTGGAGAGTTCCCATTGGTTGGGGAAGTGCGGTAGGAGGGAATTCCAGAGGAGGGACTTCCTGTTGGGTTCTGGGAGACCACCACATGTGTCGGTTGGCAGTTTTTTCCCTGGAGCGTAGGGKGTATTGGCAGCAGTTTCAAAAATAAAGTTTGTTCCTGCTTGAGTGGCTCGTGATTCTCAACAAATATTGTTTGAATGAATGAAAGAATGAATGAATGACCAACCTATTCATTGACATGTCAAGCTTTTTCTTTCAGAATGTTAAGTCCTTTAAAGCTGCTGCTGAACCATGATTTCTTAATTCTGAATTCATTGTCTTTAATTGGTTTTAGTTTTATTAAAATCTTTTCAAGTTACCTCAACTAATAGGTGTTTTAGTGAAAGAGCAAATGTGTCTAGGAAGTAAAGACATAGCCAATGACTCAGCCATAAAAAGAGCAGAAACCTTAGTAGAACTGTATTTCATGGCAAAAAAAAAAAAAAAAAACTAAAAAGATATTTGGAGTCCAAAATGGCACTATAAAAGGACCACCATTTTGACTCTCGCATATCACTAACATGTCCCTCCTACTTTCTTCCTGCTTCCTTCTTCTCTACCTTATTCATTCCTCTCTCTCTTTCCCCCACCCTCTCCTTCTGTATTTCTATTTTCCTATAACTTGAACCCACCCATACCCTACTTTCATGGCCCCTGCAGTACCCCTCTTCCTCATGTTTTGGGTCATGGCTTTACTCTATGAATCCTTTCTGCTTTCATTCTTACTGCTTTCCCAATTCAGGTGCCTGGAAACAAGAATCTGTGTCGCTCAGGAATGTCAGTTATTACTAAGCTGGTTGACTTCTGTTTTGTTTTGGTTCATTTTGGTTTGGGGGTACCAATCCATACCACAGATCACTAACCAGACTATGAATTATGCTTCACTGGGTCCAGTATCCTTCTCTGGTCCATGCTAGAAGTAGAGATAGGTCAAATTGTACAAAATAGAATAGGGGATATTCCCTTCTTCAGGAGACTGTGGGAAGAGTCGTTTCACTTAAAAGGGACTGTAACAGTCATCACTGTGATAGACACACTAGTATCATTCTACAGTTTGCCTACTGGAACCCACACTCTTCTTCTACATGGACCTGGGCATAGTAAAAGAATGCTTTTCATGTATACAATCCTAAATTCACAAAAGATTGTCTTTCCCAGTCAGGGAATGAGAGGATGCAGCGTGAATATTAAAGAGCCATTGTAGATATTGCAAAATCAGTCTTTAACAATCAGAGCCTAACTTTGTCTATTAATTCAATTTAGTCAGTTCCACAATTTGCTCATGAATATGATCAGGTTCTGCACCTAACCAGCTGTTGGAAGAAAGCTCTTCCTGCACCAGCTTACATGTTAGCCTTGCATTTCCTTCTCTGTGTTGAGCAGGGCAATCCTAGCCTGGCATTTATTTCTCTCTCAGTGCACATTATATCCATTAACAGGAGAAATGACCTCTGCACTTACTTTCAAAGTGCACCCGAGAGACCACAAGCAATGAATTCATTAATTTCTTTGTCAGTATATTCCATTAGATATTAACATTTTATCTTCTACTTGAAGAGGATACTCTGATTGCTATCCATCTAGGAACTAAGGAAACACTGACTCCAAATGCACCACATTTTATTATAAGTGTCTCTCTTGGGATACCGAATTTCCAGAATCTAATTTCTATCAAGATTCTTTTGTTTGCACTTTCACTTATCTCATTTAATTTCTTCCTGTTAGATTAAGCCCTCCCTCAAGGCTGTCAAGATCTTTCTTAGATCCTGATGCCTAAATATCTCTTAAATCAATTTGCTTTATTTCCTCTGCTATTGACTTAGTTCAAATATTCAGTATCTCTCATTTTGACTATTATAGTAACATGAAAACTAATCTTTCTAGTTTTTGTCTCTTGGATTACTAATGCACCTTCTTCAACCTGCAAAATGCTCTTTCTAAAACGCAAATTTGATTACATCCTTTTATCTCCTACCATTTACTCTCTACATCTCCCTGAATGTGCCTGGCTTTCTCATTTCTCCATGCCTCCACACACTTCCCTCTGATTGGAACATTCTCCTATTCCTTTGTCGTGAGTCACCTCCTTGATTACTCCCTTTTCCCCAACAGAGGTACTGTTCTCTATTCTATGTTACTTCTGTATCTTGTCGATTCTTCAATTATTCATATATCCTGGTGAGTTAGAATTACTTTTTTATATCTCACTTTTTTTTTTATCTTTTGGATTCCAACTTCCTTCAAGATAGAAACTGTCCTGTGATCCATCTTTATATTCTGGTTTTTACCTTATTGAGTGCTCAGCAATTGTTTATTGAATGGCATTCGAACATCTTTAACTTATAATGGAGTTCCAAATGTCTATCTATGGTAATGGTTAATTTCCTTTTCCTCTCTCCTATCATCCAGAAGCAATGGGTATAATTTATTGACTCTCTTCTCATTTAGATACCCGCTTTTCTTCATTACTCATTTCCTGATTCATCTTTTACTATTTTATTCTCGATTACAAAGCCAGTGGACAGTTTCCCCTTTGTTACAAATGTCTTTGACCAAAAACTCAGGAAGAACACTTTCTAATTTACACCCCATCTTCTCCCTGAAATAAAGTTTCATGGCTTAAGCTGATAGAATTCCTATTCTGCCTATTGCCAGGCCCTCCAGATTCTGTTTTGTGAAGTATATATCCAGAAATGAGAAGGAAGAGGTAGTTTCCTGAGTACCATTCTCCATGTTGTTAGTTCCTTAATCCAGATTAATTAATTAATTTCTAATTCTTCAGAGTTCATACTTGAGTTGCCAGGAAAATCCCTGGGTGCCTTACCTCGAGCAATAACTTTTGGGAAAAGTATTTTGGAGTGCCATCCTTTTCCTGCTGGTTGATTGAGTAGGGAGGTGGGTTATTGGTCATAATCAGTAAGGTCAAATCCTGATCAAACTCGGTTACTTTTAACATGAAGCTGGTGGTTTTCCTGTTTTGATCCAGGAATTTCTGTAGTACAGTGGATTTCAAAGGTTCATAGTACCGGGCCTGAGCAGATAGGTTTCCAGAGAGACAAAGAGATTAGATCAAGAGAAGACTAGCAAACCAATTGACTCATCTTTCTTCTCTGTGGGGTAGAGTGAGAGGTTGAGCAGTGACTGGGAAAATCTGTCCCCAAAACTGTTGATCCAAAACCACAGGAAGCTCTTTGTCCCTGACTTCCTTCAGAGTATTAATTCCCCTGCAAAAAGGCCCAGGGGCTGAGGCAAGGCAACAGAAATGTTCACACAGGAACAGGAACAAAATGATTTAATTCTTAAAAAAAAAAAAAAAAAAAAGGTGTAACATAGTATTCAGCACAGTGGGGCAAACCAAGAAGTATTTTTGTGACCCAATGTTACCGGTCTTGTCTCAGCCACCATCTCTGAGGCAGAGAGTTTAACCAGGGACCCAAGCCCCTTGCTCAGGGAGTTCTCTAGGAGCATGTGCAGCTTCCCTTACTTCCCACCTGCAGACACCTCTCCCCTGGCACAGCAGCCCTTACAGGCTTTCATAAGCACAACTAGAAAGAAAAGACAGTCAAGAAACACACAGCATGTCACTTAAAAGCGTGGGAGGGCAAGGGCCGGCCCACTAAATTTGCTTTTCCAGCAATAGGATTAGAGAGAGAGGAAGGGAGGAGGAGAACTTGGATTATACATATGTTCTCCCTGATTATAAATATGTTTTCTCAACTTAAAAAATACCAACTGCGAGGACCACTTTCTGCCCAGGTCTCCCCTCCCACCTCACCACTAGGATCCGAGCTCCGCCTCAAACCTTATATTTCCAAGGGTGCTCTGCCTCCCTGTCCTGGGAAGGGGACCACGGCATTGGGAGGTTATCAGGGAATTAGGGGTACTGTGTGGTGGGCCTCTGCCTTGCTGCTAAATTTGTCCTTAGAGATCTCTTGGAGAAACATTTTTCCACCTACCAAATTTGGATGAACTGAGTAATACCGAAGGTTCTTTAGGACAAATTTGGATTGCCCGGTGTAATCAAAAACCTAAAGGCAATAAAAAGAAATATTGATTTCAAGTTACTCCTCCTTATCTCACCTTAGTCTCACTAAAAAGGGCTGTCCAATGCACCCTAATCTGAAACACTGGCCTTCATGTTTTGCACCCTGGTTTTCTGGAATGAAAGCCACAGCAAGGAGAGCAGGGGTCTGAGAGGGACGTTTGTAAAGGAAATGAAGACCAGACTTATGAAATGTCAGGTAAGGCTCTTTCAAGGTGAAGTAGATAAGCATAGCATCCACGCTCAGACAGGGACAAATCCCCAAGGAATCACACCCCTTGCTCTGCCTTTTCCTTATCTATAGGGGTCAGATGGAGTGGCCATCAACCTGGAGGACCCTCTTGAAGGAGAAAAGCAAGTTACAAAAKGGCAATAAACCGGGGGTCGTGGATGCTAGGGGGCCATCAGGACAAGTCTGTCAATAGGGCTGGGAACAAACACACAGGGAAAGGGAGAAGAGAGTGCATTTTGCATTTTTGAACATCTCTCTATGATTCTTCCAAAAACGTTACAAAAAGTAATTGAATTTTAGTATTGCTCTCTCTACTACTTTGCATTGGTGGTGGTCGAGCTGGTTATTTGTGGATTTTTTAGCGTCTCCTCTGGTAGTAGAGGAGCTGAGCCTCCTTCATCCCCTGCCTCCTGCTCCCAGCAGTGCTACCTCCTACTTGCTTAGCCCTAGGTTATTTAAGTATGAACCCAAGGGAGGAACACAAGGAGTGYGTTGTGTATGAATATAAGGAGTTGAAAGCTCCGAATTTCCTTCTTTTGCCTTGGCAAAGTCAAAAATTTTGGGGGAAAAAAAGGTAGGGAGCATGATCCTATTTTGGGATCAGCATTTCTAAAGATAGCTTCACCCACCAGGAGGTGATATGGTTCAATGTGGCGCAGGGGAAAAGAGACAAGCATGGGAAGGTGCATAAAGCAAGAMGGCAGACTGAGAAGAGGGAAGAAGTCAAGAATGGGACACAACGTGGGAGAGGAGTCGTTACTCCCCTCAGGGAGCAATATTGCAATTCTTGGGGGTTGGAAGAGGACTGGAAGAGGACTCACTTTTGGAAGGGTGAGATGAAATATGGGACAAATCCAAAGATACAGTTATTGTCGGGAACTAGAAGGAAATTCTCCTTCAAAGATTAGCCTGACAGCCCCCTGGGAGACATCCTGCCTGGAAGGCATCCTGCAGCTACCTATCTCCCTGGAACATCCTGBRGTTATCARGATCATCAGACATCTTGCAGCTGGCAGTTTTACCACCCACATCCAGCAATTGCGGAGACCTTCCCCATCCCCAGCATATGAATACCTACCCACATCCAGCAATTGGGGAGACCCCCCCATCCCCAGCATATGAATACCCACCCACATCCAGCAATTGCTGATTAGAGAGCTTCCCCATCCCCAGCATATAAATACCCCTGTGTGAACAATAAAAGTTTGCAGCTTGATCAGAACTTTTGTCTTGCTGTCACCTTTCATGTCTCTTGTCCCTTCATTCCTCCCCATCTAGGTTCGCTGCCCATGTTGATGTGTCCTGCCGGACGGGACAAGTTATTTAATTTTTATTATCTTTTGGAAAACCTGAATCTGTTTGTTCAAAACAAAAATATACTATGAAAAGCCTGTTCTGCAAATATATGTAACATTTAACTATTAGAAGTCTAAGAAAAGTTTACTGGGGAGACAGGTATGAAGACTTTTTTTCTTTAAAAGATTTTTTAAAAAAATATTTTGAAGAGGAAAAGTCCCTGGGGATTTTTTTTTTTTTGTAAATGGTCAGAATGCCTTTATTTTATTGATTATGTGGTGCTGAGGATTGAACCAGTGCCTCAYATGTGCTWGGCAAGCAATCTGCCACTGAGCCACACCCCAGCCCCTGAAAATGTTTTTAACTCCTGAATTTTTCTGAGGAATTGAAACTTTGTTCCAAATTAGCTTCCAGTGGTTGACTAAACCCACAAGATTGTCCAAATTGGAATATGTTTTTAGTTTTATAATGTTGACTTGCATTATTGCTGGCTGATGAAATAAAAGCTGGCCTGGTAAATTCACTTGAATATGATAAAGCTGGGAAAGCAACCAAKAGTTCTGCTACAAGTGGCAGCCATAAAGTCCAGGTAAATCAGGGGTTAACACTCCCCCTCACTCCCTGAGATAGATTTCTGGTTCCTGGGTTCCCTGCCCTGATTTGTTGCTGATGTTTCTTTGTTTCTCTCTCTTTTTTTTTCCCTATGCTTCTGTCTTTCACAAAATGAAGATAAATTAATATTGTTCTGTATATCAGCTTTTACCCCTTTTTACTTTCCCACCAGAAGTCTGTAGCCCCAGCTGGTAAGCACTCCAAGCAAACCCAAAGATTACACGTGAATGCGTGCTACTGCTCTTCCTTACCTCTTCACCATCAGCAGCTATTCCTTTCTCAGGGTTATCTGGCTTATTCGATAAAGTCTTTGGTTTGCCATTTTGAAACCTGAAAAAGAGACAGAACATCCACCAGCATTTGCTGACTCAGCATCCTGGCCTTTTGCATGTTCTCAGTCTCCTTCAACTAAGTTTAGGAACCTAATTTAGATTATTAATTAGGTGATCACAAATTGAATATGTAATAAAGAATCATATTTGTTATTCAGCCTTCATACTGGAGAAAATTCTAGTTTAAAGGGTTGATTTGAGACATCTAAGAGATTGACTAACATCCAGATGAATTGTTTTCTTCTGAGATAGAAGTTTTAAATCACCCAAATAAGTGCTCTAGTTGACTCTCTAAAGAAATTCTTTTGGGCAGCTAGACCCTCAGGATACCCTTAAAGACTCTGAATGCCTATTTTGAATGCCTCCCTACTATACTACCAGGAAGTGGCACTGTTTTTGCCAATGATTGGTACAGAGTTCATGGAACTTCACAACTAAATTTCCTGGGGTTTTGGGGGGGGGGAACTTGACCACTGAGGGGCACTTGAACTTGAACTCAGGGGCACTTGAGCTCTGAGCCAAATCCCCAGCCCTATTTTATATTTTATTTAGAGACAGGTTCTCACTGAGTTGCTTAGCACCTCACTTTTGCTGAGGCTGGCTTTGAACTTGTGATCCTCCTGCCTCAGCCTTCTGAGCCACTGGGATTATAGGCATGTACCACCATGCCTGACTAAATTTCCTATTCTTTTTGACCTTGCTTGGATTACTGTCTATCTGATCTTCCTAACCACATCTAAAAGTTTGTCTTCCTAGAACTAAGATAGTAAAACTAACCATTAATGGCAAATATTTTCAAACTCACTTTCCCATACCTCACCAGACACCTGTTCTCTCTGGCAGAAAGGGGTAGGGGAAAGGGCAGAAGTTGTAACATCTAATAATAAAGTATTTTGGATTCCCTGACTGATTCTTTGTAACCCGGTTCAACTGCCTGAATATAGTAGAAGATACTCATCAGTAAGAGTAGGTTAATGATTCAAATAAATGGTTCTCTTCTTCYTCAGAATTCTTTTCCGGGATTGAACTAGCTTAAATTCAGAAGAATTCTGCAAGCACTACACCTCTATCCTTTGAAAATGAGGCTAGCTGAATAAAGTCCAAAGTAAGAAAAGTAGAAATAGCCAGTCTATGTAGTTGGTAGGTCAACTGGCTACAGCATGGTGTAAACAATCCTGAATCCAGGATCAAATCCCATCCAGGGATGATAACTTCCATTTATTACTGGCTACCAATTCTGCTATTAACTTAGGCAGTAGCTCTTAGAAATGATCCCAAGGGGAGGACATCCACTGTGGATAGATCAAAATAAATTAATTCAACTTAACATCTGGAAATTTGTGCCCTTTTGATGTGGCCTACTACTGTAAGTTAAAATAAATAACACAATTTTTATTGTAGTGCTTTTTCCAATGATTCTTTGGTATCTAAAAAGCAGCATAGGATCCCAGATACTCTTCTTCAAGGCCCATGTAAGGCCTAGAACTACATGAAAAATATTTCTTTAGTCTAACAGTGCTCTAATGCTTTCTTTTTGGCTATAGTTGCTATATGAAACAAAGACCAAGTTCTGSTGTTTTGATCTGCAAACAGCTAATTAAAATGCATTTAATGAGAATCTACTCTGTGATTAGCACTGTTCAAAGTGCTTTGGGATAAAAAGTAAGCTAGTGTAAAACAACATTTGTAACTAGTTAAGCAAACAAGACTACCCACTTGCCATATCTCTCTTCGTCCATTCTTGTTCACTGCTAATTGGGCCAACCTAAGGCAGGTATTCAACCAAGTCCAAACTCAGTGTCTCTAAATGGTCTGCGTTCTGCAGGGATTCAGTTCAATTCAAACATTCCTTCTTTAGCACACACTGTGTACCCAGCCTTCTTCTTCATCCTGTATGAAAAATAAGAGAAGACTGACAGACAATATTATAGATATAGAAAATACAAAATAGTGGTCCTTTTCTGCAATAAATTAAGTTTATTTGGTCAATGGGGAGGAGCAGAGATGATTATTGTGAAGCAATAATGACACATACATGCTAATGAAATGAACTTCATCTCTTGGGGGAAGGTCCTCAATTTGTTCATCTGTAAAGGGCATTAACCAAATGATTTAAAGATGGCATTCTAATTCCTTAATAGTGGAGAGATTTACCTACATGAACTTAAATAAAAATGAACTTGCATGTATCAGTAGTGAGAGAAAGTTGGAGGAATTGCCATTTTTTAATTTATATCTCCTTTCAACACAACCATACCCATCCATAAATTAGGCCTAAGAAGCTGGAAAAAAAGTGTGGATATGTACTGCAGGGGAGGGGTGGGGTTTGCTATGCATAGGCAATGAGAAGTGGAGATAGAGGCTGATGACGTGGAATGTACCATTTAGAGAAAAATAAGGGGTCAATTAGGTTGAGGGAAGAGGCTTCCTAAAAGATATGAAGCCTGAACCAGGCCTCCTTGTAGGATGGTGTATGAAACCTTTCATCTTCCCGGAAGGTGATTGTTGTTTTAAGTAGTGAAAAATAAGGGTAGGTAGACAAGGTGGAACCACGTTTTGGAGACCTTGACTCTTAAGGAGAACTTTGATAAAATGTATAGTCCAAGTTCCTATAAAGACCACAGACTTGAACAATGGTCTGTGTTCATGTTGAGAGGTGATTTTTTTTTTTTTTAGGGTTTATGTGTAGTAATAAATCCTAAAGATGATGATCCACAGTTTGGAACTAGACTGAGCTTAATCCTGAAGTTCCCATCTGAAGAAACAGACTAATAAGTTTAACATCCTTTTTCCCCCTTCATTTTTTATTTTTATTTTTCTGGAATTGTAAATTCAGTTTGAGTATATATTAAAGCTAAAATTAAAAGGAGCTATCCAAGTGGGACTTACAGTTTGTGTTGTGTGGCTCATGCACAGCCCAGCCTGGGAAAAAAAATCACACTAACACAAAAACTACCCTCAAAATTAAAATATCTCTAGCTGGGTGTGATGGTGTGTGTCTGTAGCCTTACCCACCTGGGAGGTTGAGGCAGGARAATCACTCAAGCCCAGGAGTGTGAGGTCAGTCTAGATAACAGAGCGAGACCCCCCCTCCCATCTCACCAGAGAGAGAGAGAGAAAGAGAGAGAGAGAGATCTGAAAGATTTGGCATACAATACCTTTGAGGACATTTGGGAAGTAGATAAAATTCCTTGATATGGAAATTTTCCATTTTGAAAATATCTTAATGATTCTCTCGTGGATTCTGGAGGAGACCCGGGAATTGTGATGAACAGGCAATCTAGAATGTGGAGGAGTTCTATGTTGAGAACTGAGAATTGTGAGAACAAAGACCTACTTAAACACAATCTGCTATGATCTGCTCCGTTTTATTTTTCTACCCTGTGGCTTCCCCTGCACACACCATATACACTGACCTGATCATCATTTCTTAATCCATCTCTACCTTAGCCAACATTTTCACCCCATTCCTCAGAGTGTTATAAACACAATGAGCATTCCTCTCTTATTCCTCATACTTAAAACACTCTCCCTAAATATTTGAATCATTTTTTTCTTTATGTTACTATTCAGATCAAGATTCTTGAAAGAAGACTTTCCAAACTCTGTCTTATAGGCATTGATTTTATTTATTTATTTATTTGTGTGTGTGTGTGYGCGCGCGCGCGAGCGCATGCATGCATGAATATAGTATCTTGTAATTCTTATAATTTTCTTTTATGCAGATTTTGTCTGTCCCCGAGGCAGTCAGCTCTTTAAAAATGGAAATAGGAATTTAAGCATATTTGCACTCCACCGTGCTTTGTATGTTAAGCATTCAAAGTCAGTTTTTGTTTATTTCAATGTTTTTACTGAACATGTATGACATGTTAGGAACCAGGATAAATCACTTGTATTTTTTTTTTTTTTTTTTTTGGTACTCAGGATTGAACCGAGATGTTTAACCACTGAGCCACATTCTCTGCCTTCATATATTTTATTTAGAGACAGGGTCTCACTAAATTGCTTAGGACCTTGCTAAATGAGGGTGGCTTTGACTCCCAATCCTCCTGCCTCAGCCTCCAGAGCCACTGGGATTACAGGTGTGTGCCACCATGCCTAGCTCAGTTGTAATCCTCTATTTTAAGGAATTAAGAGTTTATCCAGGAAGAGATAAGGAAAGTATTGACCACAATCGTGTGATGCCTATATTATCGATGAGTTCAGGATGCTATGGAAGCAAAGAGGAAGAGCACTTAACCCAGACAAGAAGAGCCTGGGAAAGACTTGGAACTAATACTAAACTGAGCCTGCAAAGGTCAGTGTGAGTTGACCAGGAAAGGAACTCAGAAAATGGACACTTGCAAAAGAGGGAACAGCAATTGCCTGTTCATCACAGGGAATTGTGATGAATAGGCAATCTAGAAAAAACACAAGAATACAACAAAGTACAACTTGTTTAGGGGAATTAAAATAATTGCAGAATGTCTGGAATATCAAATTTATGGGGATGGGTAAAATAGGTGGGAGTGGAGAGGTAGACAGAATTCAAATCCTGAAATGCAGTCTTTGCTAGGAAGCTGGTAGGTTACTTTGAGTAATGAAGAGCTATTAAGGGATTTTAAGTACAGAGACCCATTGAATGATACATATTTCAGAACTATGAAAATGGTGGCAGCATAAACTCTAGATTGGAAAGATGGAAGAATTACAAATTAGAGCCGAGCAAGGTGGTGCATACCTGTAATCCCAGTGTTTCAGGAGGCTGGGGCAGGAGRATCTCGAGTTCAAAGCCAGCTTTAGCAATATAGTGAGGCCCTAAGCAACTCAGAGAGACCCTGTCTCTAAATAAAATCTAAAAAGGTCTGGGCATGTGGCTCAGAGGTTAAGTCCCCCCCACCCCGGCCATTTCAATTTCTGGTACCAAAAATAATTATAGATTAGAAAATTGAAAAGAGGCAAGATGAGAAGGCTATGGTCATACTGAGGAGTGGCTGAGCAATAGTAAGAGTCTGTAAT